TACTGTTTACTGATAGATGACCATCATTTATTGTTCGGTCTTTTAAGACCTACTGTTTACTATATTGTTATGCTAATGGATGTACCACATATGACTGAATGACAGATATACTGAATTAATGAACTGTTTTCATTACTGTAAGGACATTCATTCTTAACCCCTTTACGCATTGTGTTATTCACTAGGCTTTAGCTCACTGCTCATATATATATGTAGGTGTACAGGAACCAGACCGCAGCTAGAAGCGTCGGGGTAAACTCCAGTTTTGTCGAGCCAACCTATGTGCCTCAATGCGAGGTTCCGAGCCTGTCAAGTTACGGCTTAGGGGTGTTTTTAATTTTCCCGTCTGTCTCTATATCTGATTTGTACGACTGTATAGGCTGTACTGTACTGAATGATTGTATATATGTACATACTGTTTTGTCTGACTGTGTATATTTGAATGAGAAGTCTTTTTTGCATACAGACTGTCACAGCTCATTAGACATTGTTTATTTACTGTATTGGCTTCCGCCAGCCCCTGCACTCTGTATTACTGTATTACTGTTAAGCAGGCCTTCGGTAATCTCGGATTACTGGCCGGTTAGGGTGCTAAACTCATAGGGGCGGGTTTGCGTCGTGACAGATCTCTAGCTCCTTAATCCTAACCATGGCTTTTCTCAGTGCCTCCTCTGGTGTTTCCGTTTTATTACCATTGTCTTCTCTCTGTGGTGTGCTGGACAAATCAAGTAGGTCAGGAAACAGCGTCGGCGTTGTATCCCCTATTGTGGGTTTCTCAATTGTATGTTTCTTAGCTCCACTCGCAGAGTTGGTTATTATCCCTGAATCCAATTCACTCTCAATGTGTCGACCATTTCGGTTATCTATTTTCCAATAGTCCAAACTTGGTTCAACATTTTCCATATTAACATTGTCATGTGCAGAACCATCTCACACTGTTTCAGGTGCCACGTTCAAAATAGTAGTCGTGTCAACATTCATATTAACGTTCTTCGCCGATTCCACCGCAGCCATGTTTGTGTTCAGTTGGTAGCGTTCAAGAATCGTTCCTGACAACTTCTAGGAACTCACCTGCATAACACACAAGCAATGTTAACCATTCGTTACCATGATGCAAAAAACTAAATGAGATTAACGCAAAAGTTCATTTGTCCAACCTCAAATACACCTTCTATTGTTAAGTCCAATAATTTGACCTTACTGATTAGTCTGCTAATATTCCAATTACAAAACCGTGGAAAAAGTTTAGGCCGCTCAAATTTGATTAGGCTAGTATGCTCGCAAATGAAGAACTGTGGGAAAAAGGAATAGGATACCAAATCAGTCCACGAATAAGCAAAACAATAATGTTGTATGCATACACATTTTTAAATTCTAATAAACGTTTGATGAACAACTTACCAACAAACCAACCACGCAACTAATCACATTTTCTAGCTAGTTGTGGAATTCTTTTAGTGACCCAATTAATGTATTCTGGATTGCAGCTGTCCAATCATAAAGGCGTAGCGTATCAAGTTTGTCGATGACTCGTACGTATGCCCAACCAATGGACTCCCCGGTCGTTGCAAAAAAAAAGCTTCGCACATATATACAAGTACAATAGTTTCGTAACGTCCTCCTCATCAATTGGGGTGATTCCCCATAATGCCTCCAACAACAGATCTTTGATAGCTTTCGAAGATATTCGTCCGAAGTTCGAGCAACGACGCTGAATAAAATCCGATGGTAGCTTTGTCCCGTAGTTCAAGTCCAGTTGTTTTCACCCACATTGTATCCCAAAAATGAGTCGCACATCACTGTTGCAAAGTGGTATTCCCTCTCCTCCAATATAAAATTTCACATCCGACAGATTGTATGTTTGAATTATACAGCAGACCGTCAAGTCACATTTCTTGTAAGTTTTCTTCTTTAGCAGGTATGCTCATATGGCATCAATCATTAGCTAAAAAGATGTTTTCAGCAAATACCGTATGTAGTCTTCACCCAACTCAATTTCAGAAACTGTTTTAATTACCCCAGCCATATTTGAGCGGTACATTAGCTTCAATGGGTCAACTGACGGCTTCTTCACAATGTCGGATCCTTTTTTTTGCTTTGTCAGGGCACCACCAATTTGGTGGATGTTGATATAGCGAACCTTGGTTCATGTTTGGTCTTTCTTGCACTACGACGAGTTGATTTTTTATTGTAAATTACCTATCACAATCATCCATAAATGTCAGTACACCATTTCCACCTAACTCTCGCATCAAAACATTAACTAATCGACTTATACTTAAAATAATTGTCTCAATCAGCGTTACGCATTTCAATGGCATATAACATTTGGGACACGTAATGCAAATTTACAACACTGCTGCACATACCTTGAGAACGTCACCTCATCTAGTCCTTAAAGCACACACGCAAGCAAACATCACCCTAATGTCTACAACATAGACGCCACTATTCGTATATTGAACGTGATAATGTGGGTGGCCGTGTCAGCCATATATGGTTTTTTCAAATGTATACATGGGTAAATAAACGTATCACAACAATATAAGTATTACACCATAACCACTCGTCCTATCACAACAACATCAAAACAACGTAATGTATAAAATGAAAACCCCACCACACTTGTGCCGGGTTACAATACGGTTTTCAAATGTTTGTTTTCATAACGTCCAATTTGACCTACTCAATATAACATTCGATTACATGTGCATACGCCAAAAACCAACACACTCACCAATTGGTTTGTTCACCACTCAATGAAGAACCATAACACAAACGGGCAACGACATCCAACTCCTCTTAACATACATAACACTGCATGCACAAACACCCGACTGGCCAAAAAATACATTCACACGTCCCACACTAACTTAAATGATTTTCTTGTAAATGTCCGTTTCATAGAAACTATATAACACATTTTTACACTTGCAATAAACACTATCCACAAACAGGGGCCTACTATGCCCTGTAAACCCATTTGGACATTCATAACATTATGCCCAAATCTACACTGTATAGCTGAATTCATATTTCGACATCAACCCTGGTTCTACTAACATTACTCAAAGCAACAACACAAAAAACATTCGACCGTTGAATACCACGTCAACTAAATGTTGAACAATCAAATGACATCACGCACCCAAACAGCACAAATATGAAAACCAGATTGGAAACTACACGACACTAACGAATTTGCACCCGCACAAACCAATGTACAATCATAACTATTGGGATATCAAACACCATACGCAAGCCACATACACATCGCAATAAACATTGATTATCTAACCCAAATTTTACAAAACCCATACCCTTCCACAAACAAACCCTAAAACCACGACATCCGACATCAAGTAAATACAAAACAAACATCACTAACCTTCTCGCCTCGGAGTCATCTTCTACACAACTGGTTTAGCGCGTGTCTGTCAATGTCGATTGGTGTTCTCCCAAATTCAACGTGTAACCAATGTAGGGTTTCACCGTCGCTTCGCGTCTCGGTTGTGTGATTACTACTACCAACAATCTCTTATCAATAATACCATTCACAATATAAACGCATAACCAACCAAATCAACATCAGGATTCAAAATTTTTGCATTCCTGATAGCGTAGGATTCACTCTCAAAGGAAGAAAGGATAAAAGTCTATAGTGAGCTTGGTGCAAATGTGTAATTTACCTAATTGCGAAATCCCACATTAACCCCTCCCTTCAATCAAAGATGCGTTGATACTATACCATGTTATCGTAATTTCATTTATTATGGGACCTTTGGGTCTATAAAATGAAACACATGATTAACTAGTTTACAATTTGGGATTTTGGATTTAATGGTGCTTGACCCAAAATTTTATTTGAAATACTTTTGTAATAATTTATTTAAGTTTTTGCACTTAATATTAATTCAAAAATTATTATTTGTTTATTGTTGGTTATGGAAAAAAATTTGAAATTGTAATTAATAAATGCCCCTTTTGATTTAGTTTTCTGTCTTGTCATTGGTTGTGTTATGTATGTGTTGAGGTGTGGAGTTTATGGATGTGTACGTAAAGATAATAGAGAGTGTTTGTTCGTATTGTATTTTGACAAAAAGTGATGAGAAGATGAATAAAGTGTTTAATATTTTATATATGTTTTGTTTTTATTTTGTGCCTGTATATGTGTGTGTGTGTTTTTTTTTTAAATAATAAATTTTGAAACTAATGTAGGCTAAATTTGACCAATCAAATGAGGCTATTGTGGCGAATTCAATATTTTATTTAACTGTGTTACTAGTTGACGAAGGTGTTGAGTGATATTTATAATAGTAGAGGGGTGCAGTGATATTTTAAAAAGTATGGAGGGGTGTTAATGTAATTTACGGTAACAACATCGAATACTTGTGTGGGGTTGGCATCAAGTGTGTGCAAGAGCAGTCGAAGCTCAGGAATCAGGAGTAATTATGTTATCGTGTCAAATGTTTTTCCATGCGTCCGATTGTGGTGCTTCCTAATTCCAGTCTTGGGTACCATATGAATATGAGTGAAAAGTATGAGAAAATGCTATAGATGTCAATTTTTTTATGAAATAAATGATCAAATATCTTATATGGAATGAGCTTCATAAAATTGTATGGTAAAAAATTTGATATCTCTAATCGAAGCCTGCTATGCCTCTTTGTGGGAGTTCGTCCCGAATATTTTTCAATAATTTGAACCGGCATTTTGTAAGATTTTGTCAAAAATATTATTCACGTAAAAAATCAAGTTAATCGAATATTCATAAACCTATGATTAGGTCTTAATTATTTTTAAAAATTTATCAAAGTTATGTTAATTGTTAGTTTTTATAAAAACAAATGCGCTTTGATTATAGAATTATAGATATCTAATCAATTTAATTTTTTACATAAATAATTTATTCAACAAATTTTAAAATATGAACAAATTAAATTATCGAAAAGAGATTGAAAACTACACTTCACAAACAGCACGGTAGGATTCCAGATCCATCCCTAACATTACCCAAAAGTATCAGAGTGAAGGACCCACCATTCGATGCTGACGTGGAAATAGCGCGAAGAGCGGTTTCAGAGTCTTCGTTAAAAAGAATAGCGGTTTCAGTGTTCCCTGTATTTCAAATAAAAAACACCGGGGTCTCTATAATTTGATCCCTTCCGTAGAGCGAAAGGTTAGAGTGAGAAAGAGAGAGAGAGTGAGAGAGAGACAGAGAATTCTAGAGAGAGGGTGTGTTTGTGTGTGAATCTGTATCTGTATCTGTCTCGTTTTACAGGAAAAACGGAAACTCCAATAGTAGTCCCAAACAAACGCCATTGAATTCAGTTGCAGAAATCAGAGCTTTTTCAACACCTGGACCTCCTCTTCAGCGCACAGCTCACCCTCCTCCACCTTCCATCCGTCACTCTCTCCTTGGCCTTGCCTTTAATCCTCCACTTTCGAATCCCCATACCATACCCCTCCCCCGCACTTGATGATGCTTCTCTTTAAACCAGAGAGATCAAACCAAACCAAACCAAATCCAACCCAACCCAACCCAACCCAACCCCCAAAGCCTTTTTAACCCTGGGTTTGCAATTACTCTCTCCATTAACCCATTCATCTACATACATACATTGCTTTTGTGCATAAAAACAATAGATTAAAAAAAAAAGAAAAAAGTAACCATGAATGAGCATTGCACAAATGTCACTCAGATCGGGGACTTCCATGGCCAATTAACCCAAGTTATGACTACAAAAAACCCACTACCACTACCATTCTCTCTTTATCACCCCCCATTTCGCGATTGCCGAGCGTCGATCAACAGTAGTGCTACTGTACCCAAACAACCACACGGAGAGAGAGAGAGAGAGAGACAACGGGGCGTTCACAGAAAACCCTAACCCTACTAGTGCACAAACACACCATACCAGATGGGGAAAAACGAGGCGTATGGTTTGGTGGCAGGTGGTGGTGTCGGAACGAGGGTCACCAGCACTACTAGTGTCGCAACCAAGGGAGACAGAGTTCGGAAGACTCGTGTTAATGACGAGTCGGATCGGACCGAGTTGGCTCTGAACCTGGTCTCCGCGACGAGTCTCGGTGTTCTCAGGAAGAAAAGGATGCCCCGACAGAGGCGATCCTCCATCAACCTCCTCCCTTTTCTATCCCTCAGCTCGCACGTGCCACCTCCACCTCCCCTTCCCCTTCACCCTCCCGCACGTGTACGTCCTTTCCCGTTTTTTCCTCTTCCTCTTCATTTTCTTTTGTTTGCTGCTTTATTATTACAATCTTTTTATGTAAAAATATATACTAACTAGGTGTAATAAAAAATAAAATAAAAATAAATTTCTAAAGTCTCGGATTGCATATGATTTTGTGAAGCCATGTTATGTGTAGATTAGTTTTGGTGAAAGGTTGTCCATTTCGTACCGATTAATTTCTTGATGCGACCTATTGTTTGAATTCTTCATGAAAATTGGTAATTTCAGCTACCCTTAACTTATTTTACTGTTTAATACCTAAATACAATTTTATCAGATATATTTATTATTACCAAACAGAGCAATCTTCCCCATTTGTATTTAAATGTGAGTCTACTGCCTTTATATTTAGTGATAAGAAAGAAAATCTAGTAAAAATTCAATTATATATAGTATTACTGTTTATTGCGTTTACCCTTTCTGATCTGATCTGAGACCCATTACAATTTGTGTGTGCGTGTGTGTGTGTTAGTAAGACAAAAATCAGTTGACTTGGGTTTTGTTTTACTTTTAAATAAACTTCAATTGCAGCTATGAATTTTATTCTACACGGATTATTCTGATATTTTATTCTTCCGCAATTGAATAATTTCATCTTGAGTTTCTCAAGTCTCGCGAAAAGATATTTCAAAAGTCTAATTGAAGTATTAATTGTATCATGTTGCTTATTATTATAATTTATAATTTGATACTTTTGGTTCTCATATATATATATATATATATATATTTTATTGGATCTAAAACTTACAATATTCATGGTGCTAATTATATGACAGTGCTAATTTATTGTATCATGTATTCTTAATAAATATCATGATTTTATTTATTTTAAAAAATTCTTAATTATAATTGATATTAATGAAATATGTAATGGTGCTAGACTAGTATAATAGAAAATGAATGCTTGTTATAAAACTCTTACCATCGTTCTCACTTAAGAGGTAAGAGGTTTACTTTGTAACTATTTTTTTTTTTGCAATTTCTTAAAAATGAAAAATAAAAATATATTTTCTATAGTATCACTTTAAAAAGTACAAATAATGAATAAAGAACAAACAAGTAAATTAAAAGAATAATATAATGCGGCTATGTACAAGGGCGGAGTCAGGATTTCGTCGGGGGGAGAAAGGGGGGTCATTTCGTCCAAGAGAACGAATAGGATAAATCTACTGATCCGTCGATGGATCCGTTGGAGTTTTATTTCATTAAATCATTATTAAATATTACTCAAATTTGGACCAATAAAATTATAAGAGATTAGTCTTAATTAAATATTATTTGCATGAATAAGGAGGTCAAAATGTAAGAATTTATAAATAACTGTTAAGGTAATATTTGGTAATACTTAAAAAAATCTTAATATAATTAATCTGTTACACAATATACTTAGGTATATATAGTTTTACAAGTGATTCCATTAAATATATTATAGAAACTCACAAATAAGCTATATTGTCTTTAACATGGACTGGATTAAATATTTTCAATAATGCTATAATTTTTTTTTGAACTACAATAATGTTAGAATGATTATCTTTTTTTTTATCACAATTTGTTTATTACCTTAATCACTCATATTTGATACTAATATAGCACTAACACATAAGAGGATAAACAATACATAATAAGAAAATATGATCACTATAATATTATTGTAAATATTTTTTTTAAAAGGTGATTCTACTACGTTAGGGCAATTGGAAAATATGGGGATAAACAAGTAATTAGAAGGGATTTCAAAGGTCAAGATAAAATTGCTTGGATAGTGAGAGGGTAAAACCAAATTCAAATAGAGTTTTAAGGGTCAATACACAAAGTATATCATAAATACTTAAAATTATATAGGGTATTAGGGTGTAAACAAAATTTCATTTTTTTCATAATATTGTTGTCTTATGAAGATTAGTATATACTATATACGATGGGTATTTGCCCATTTTATTGAATTATGAACATATGTTATGCATGGGTCATGTTTGTATACATAGTTAATGAAGTTGGTAAGAGAGAACTAGTTAGTTGTGGATCAGGAAATTATGTCCGTGTGGTTGTTGTTTAGTAGTGTCCTTGGCTTATGCTTTCTGCTCTTCTTTTATGGTTTCTAGTTTGATTTTGCCTCTTGTGTTTTGAGGTTGTTGCCTCTTATTTTAAGACTGGTTTCGAGGTTCGTTGTACATCTTCTCTAGTTTCTAGTTTTTAGTTATTATACTTCATGTTGTATTGGTAGTGTCATATGAAGTAATTTGATAAAAGCAAACATGAAGGGCGCTTAGTAATGTACACAAAGAGGGTGCACATTTGGAACCGATCCAAAAAAAAAAAAAAAAACGCACATTTGGAAATGCAAACTTCCACGTAGACTAGACATTTGTGTTGTGCAACTATTGTTTGTTATACAAAGAGATTTATGATCCAACATTTTGTTTGAATTTGTTGCACTGAAATTTTTTTTGATTAATGTTTGTAACATGTGTCAGAAAATTTGAAAATGATGTTGATTCTAGGAGGTTATTGCCTATACTCCTTTATAAGATGAAAATTTTTGAAGTGATGTTTTATTTTAATAGATTGTTGCCTATACTACCTTATAGGTATTAGTCTTGGTAAAGGCAAAAACAAAGTTTTAAGCTTTAGATGGAAATTCGCATGGTTCTTTTTCAGAAAGAAACTAATGTTTGTCGAAAAATTACTCATCACTCTCCAACAATAAGCATGGTCTCTCTAGGCTCTGTATTTTAATCAACCATCATTCCAAAATCTGCTTGCATAAATTTATAATACTGCTCTGTATGACAGTGGAGGTTTTGTATTTGGGTGCATTCTACCAATGATTACTGGCAAATGCCCCATAAATGATGGAACTCTATTGGTGCCTCCAAAAAAAAAAAACAAAAAAAAAACTTGTAAGGAACTGCTATAAGCAGTAGCCAGGACAACCACCACTAGTCTCAAAAATTAATTAGCAGCCGCTCTAAATCTAAAACATTTAATCAGCAGTGGTCAGACAGAAGCATAGATAACCTCATGCAATTAGGTACTGGCAGTTAGATAAGAGTTGGTGCTAATTTTTACCAATTAATTAGCAGTGACCAACAACAACCGCCATTAATCTTAAACAACTAATTATCTGCAGTCAAACAAGAACCGTTGGAATTGTGAAGTGCTACTTTTTATCATGTTTCTATGTAAGAAACGTGAAGATAAATAGTGGTTGAATGTTTCTTTATTATGTCCTTTCACAGATTTTTTCCTGTAGTTCAATGTTTCTTTCAGCATTAATTATATTTAAATTGATGCTTTACTTGGTTAATTTGGCAACTCTCTAATAGTTTTGTGCTTTTAGGCAATCGACCGAACAAGGTTGAGGTTTCTTTTTCAGAAGGAGCTTCAGACAAGTGATGTAGGCTCCCTCAGGAGAATGATAGTCCCAAAGGTTTGTATTTTATCTTTTCTAATATGAAATTATATTATTAAGCCCATGGGTAGCATAGAGAATCACTTGAATTGCAATTTCTATTGTAGTTTTCAATTTATTACTATTTCACTTGATGCATTTGTCATGTAAACATATTAGCTTGGTCCTGAACTAATTAGCTACTGCTAATTCCTTTTGGTATATGGGACAACCTGATTTCAGAAAGCAGCTGAGGATTACCTTCCCATCCTCAAGGAGAAGGAAGCATTTGTTATCAGCATGGATGATATGGATGGCCTGCATGCTTGGAGTTTCAAATTCAGGTTTGAGTTTAACTGGTTTGTTTTGATCACTGGAAGGTAGCTGTGAGGATGGCTGGTATTAGGGAATTGTTATCAAACAACTTGTTCTAAATCATTCTTACCCTCATTAAAACTTAGTTCAGTTCAAACAAAACGTTATTTGATTTAATACAATGATGAAGTGTTGGCTTTAAAAACCTAGCTATGGTGTTCCTGAGGAGACATCTCCAATAGCCTGCGGGGCCATTTCCCCAAATAACAGACCTGAGTTTGACCCAAAAAAACAAACAAAAAAAAGGAGTCCTGAGTTCAAGCCCTGTTATATAGTGTGATGTTGTTGCTAGTTTTTTTAATTTTAAATCCTAGCTATGTGGATGTTAAATCCAGGTGATACTCATCTTCTTATGAATAGAATCTTTCCTTCTAACATGCCAAAGTGTGAAAGAATATTTGGATGTAAGATTAGTATCTAGTCCGTTGCATATGCAAGCAACTCGCTTTTGAGATTTAGTTCTTTCTTCTCCTCCTTTTTGTATCCAGATACTGGCCGAACAACAGCAGTCGAATGTATGTACTTGAAAATACTGGTGAGATCTTCAGACCCCCATTTGGTTTTCTATTTTCCTTGGTTTAGTTCTCCTTTCATTCAAACTGTGATAAAAAATATCTTCTTGAATTGTTGTAGGGGAATTCGTCAATACACATGGCTTAAAACAGGGAGACTACATGATGCTGTATCAAGATTATGAAAACCGGAATTATGTTAGTGTGCAATTTTAGATCTTTATAATTTTGGGAACTTCTCTCCTTTAAATTCATTTCAGCAATCATGGGTATTGGTTACTGATAGCTAAATCTGTTATTTACCAGGTGATTCGAGCAAGGAAAGCTTCCGATCAGGATTTGTATTCTGAATCTGCAACGAATGCTGTCAATGTGTACTTCGCTGATGATTTTGAGGTAAATGACTCTGGTTTGGTTCCTCCTGTGAACTTTCCCACCGTGGATGATACTGGGATGCCATTTGTCTATGAAACTACCTTCTCAAGTGACTCGGAGTCGTCTTATGTTTATGAGACCACCTCCTCAAATGACTCTTTGTTTGATTTTTGGAATGGACCAATGACCTACCACCCGAAGGTTGAACCTATTGGAAGCTTTGAATCCATCGAGAACTTGTCCCTTGAGGAACTTTTGTTAAGCTTCTAGTAGTGGAGTGGTAGTATCAGATAATAGGGCTAGTACATGCTACGTGCAATGTTAGGGAGGGACTTATATTATGTTACTGAACTAATGTACTTTTTGTTAAGAATATAATATATATATGTAATAAGTAAGTAACCAGTTCAAAAACTTCAGAAATCTTATACTTGTCCCTTTCTATTGGATGTTTAAATAGTTTTTCTTTATTGTGTCGCAACACCTACAAGTTAATTACTGTTGTGTAATAAAGTTATTGTCCTAAAGCATCAGAATACAATGGAATTTGTTTTAGCAAGGAAAGCCAAATGAAGTATTGATAGTTCATTGCGTCTTTTGTGGTTATAGGAGGACGTTTTATTTTAGGAGGGTGCGTAATGCATTTGCAATCTGAGTATATTTATTTTGCATTTTCATTAAAGATTGACTAGTTGCTACTTGATACCCTTTCAGTATGTCTAGTAGTAGTAATATAGTATAATAGGCTTCCTACTCTCTTCCCTCAACATAGCCACCGACTTGAACATACCGCCAGCCACAGTTGTGTACTAGGGTTGTCCAAATAGCGAGGAAATTAATATCATAGCTCGCCATTGACCTCAAAGCTCTCTTCATCTTTGCTTTGGACTACATTCACCAGTCACCATACCAATATCATCAGCTTGTTGAGCTCCATTACCCTAAAACAACCCTCCATTGCACTACACACTCACATTCATAAGCCTTTTACCTCATTTTATCATCGTTTCTTCTTGTAATTACCCGCTAAAGAAGATGGGCCTCATGAAGGTTTTCTAGCCGCCCCTTTCTCTCTGTGAAATGACATCATATATTTGGCCTTCAGTTTATATTCAAATGCAGTCCATCTGCATATTTTATTCATATTTTTGCAGTTAGTCAAAATCAAGGTGTCAAAATGGGAAATGAAAGCGGGATATGGAATTAGGATGAGAAACAGTTACGGAAGTATGTGAGAGGGTGATGTGGAGTTGAATAGTAATTGAGCTCATAATAATAAAGAGAGAATTAATCTATTGAGTTCTAATTTGTTGGAGAGCTAAAAACTAAAAACCACCTATGAATGAATACAACCTTTCCAGGTTCAGTAGGCTTCAGCGCTCTTGCAACAACTAGCAAGTACTGCTGGATTAGTTGAAATGGGGACGCTTTTATCCAAATATATTTTAAAATCTCCCCAAACAGACCAACAAGCCCGTCTAGCTCAGTTGGTAGAGCGCAAGGCTCTTAACCTTGTGGTCGTGGGTTCGAGCCCCACGGTGGGCGGATAATTTTTTGAAAGCATGAGAACCAAGGTTTTTTTTTTTTTTATTCTGAATTCCGAATTAAGAAGAGAAAATATACAGTAAAACAACTGGAAAGAGCGCTTCAAAACATCAGTCCCAGTCAAAGCCCAAAAAATACCCAAAGCGGTTTGATCACCAGGCATTTTGAGTTGCTGTTTGATCATTGCATGTTGGATTCTAAATTTCCAGAGTAGCTGGTTGTCCAATGAAACTGGATCTTGGTTATCAGTGGAAGATGTGAATGCGATGAAGAAGCTTCCCCCTTTTGACAAGCTATAGATAATATATTCACATTAATGCAGCAAAACTTGATCTGATCTCCAGGTCACAGATGAGACAAATGAAACACAATTTTGATTGTATCGTCGGTCTCTTTTTCCACTACATCAAACAGGTAAGCTTGCTTAAAACTAAGATGAGGACACATGCATGCAGAGGATTGAATGAAGCTGCTTACACAAGAACATGCTACTGCATATTTATTTGGTTGCTTGTGTACCTGCTGCATGCTCATCATAATTTTATCATTGCATAAATTAATAGAGACAAGCTTGCTAGAAACGCTTAGCATGCATTGGTAACATTTGGAGACACAATTGAAAAGCAATTGGCAAGACTTGCATGATTAAAGGGGTCCTCAAACAGAACATAGCATGATCCTAACATCAAAATGTGATTTCGTATTTAATCTAAGGCAAAAAGTGTTCCAATTCCAATGTATAGAAAATGTGGCGAAAAGCATCCCCCCAAAAACCCAAGTTAGGGAGGAGGGAACGATAAAAACTGCAACAAGTTTCAAAAGCAAAGAGTACTCCCGAACTGCTCAGATGCCTCACAAGCATCATCAGCTATATCCTACGATTATTCATCCCTCTGGATAACTATTTTCTCAGGTTCCTATATGACAAAACTATTTGAATTGATTTTACGCCTTTGCAAGCTCAGTAGCAGTAGCAGCAACAGGAGCAACACCACCGGTGGTTGGCCTGGAAATCATATTAAACTCCATCAGAAATATAATCCAATACAGCCAAACCTAATAAGCTTCCAGAAAATGAAATGCATAAAAAATACGGTAATAGGAACTTACAGCCCAACAAAAACTTTAAATGCATCATAAATTCCCCACTGGGCTCCAGTGAGAGTTCCAATCATGACAATACGGAGAGGAAGCCCCCGAGTAAAGAGACCCAAGACCCCAATCTTCTTCACAGCCTGCACAACCAGGAGTCAAAAATTTAGAATAAGCGAATGTAACAAAGTAAACAGGCCACATTTGTTTCTCAGGATAAGGAGGTCGGGATAGAAAACACGTGTTATCCACCATCATCCCGTGTTTGTTCGAATTGATCATCAGGATGAGAAATCCAGTCTGGAACTTGTATTGCACATACAGTAGGATTACATATTTGGTGATTAGCCGTTGGAGGCCAAACTACGAAATTGCACATACAGTAGGATTACATATCCAGTGATTATCCATTGGAGGACAAATTACAAACTTGCCATCCCACACATTCGAGTCCCGGGATTCAAATGGCCACAGATTCCTTATCCCACCTTATCCAATTCCACAAAACAAACCTGGCCACAAGGAATTGAATGGGAGAATAGTTTATGGCAAAGCATGCCAAACTACAAACTACAGTACTCACATCACCAACAGTTGCCCCCTTGGCATTGTTAAGGAAAGAGACAAGATTATCAGCAGGATGAGACACAATTGCACACAAAACACCAGCAACATATCCACCAGCAAAGCTCACGCCAAGCTGCAGAGGTTTACTGCACTCATCTTTCGGGGTGGGTATGGCATACTTATAGAGCATCTCCACAATGGTCTCAAAAGAGGCAAACTTCATCATGGTATCTGCAAATTAACCAAATTAATCTTTACAGATCAACAAAAAAGCTGACAAGATGTGGCTAAGAATTAAAACGCATTAATAAATAGAAATCATGATAACAGTTCAGAACTAATATGAAGAACATCATGGTTAGCTGCTACATGGAAACTTCCGCCTCAGCAAGTGGGAATGCTGAGCTCTGAGAAGATGAAATTCATGTAAAAACGCGGGGGGGGGGGGGGGGGAAGGAATTGCAACTCCTTTTCTAAGGCCTTTAATTACCATGGGCTTTCCTCTAGTGATACTGCATATCATCCATGGATTCCGCATAACACGTGATTTAAATTTTCATGTTTCTATCAGAACAAAAAGAATGAAAAGTTAATACAATAAACAAAGTACATCTATTTGACTGATAGAATAATTTTACAAAAAGGCCTACTGACATGCAAATCGTAGATTCTAAGCCTCTATAATAAAAAAATACATTCAACATTGTCATGAGCACGAATTGTTTCCCATTCTGCCAAAAATTGAATTTAAAATTTAGAAACTAATCGCCACGAATTGTTCTATTAAGAGGAAACAAGTCCACGAAACTAGAGTGCCAAAACTAGAAATAGAGACTACAAAAAACCCAGAAGTATGTAAACTTCATGTAGACATCATGAGAAGTACACAGTATGTGTCCAGAAACACCCGAAGTTATTTGAAGGAACCAAGAAATGTCTGTGAATACCATTTAGTGTCGGTCAAGATAATTCTTTAAGAAACATAATTTTAGTTATTGAATTATGTTATACATTGAGCCACCATAACATATTTTATGTATGTCTCGAATTACCATAATTTATTTTATGCAATTCATGTTTTATAAGTTATATTAATATTTCAATTACGTTGATTATTTTTTGAACTCTATTTGCTTAAATTGAAACTCATGGACTATGAAGCACGGATACTTCAAATAGGAAGACGTATCCGTATCGGATACCGATACTCCTTGGATACTTACGGATACGTATCAGATACTTATTAAAAGTATCGGATACTTCTTAATTAATTTTTCATTAATTTTGAAGTATCGGATACCTAGTTTTGAAGTATCAGATGCTCCAAGTCACATATTATCGGATACTTCTTAATTAATTTTGAAGTATCAAATGCTCCAAGTCACATATTATTCCTTTTACGAAATTAGAATTATATCATTTCTTGCATAACATCATAATATAATATAATTGTAAGGATAAATAGAATATTTTTACAATACTTTGCTTAGTTTTTTTTATAAAAATAACATAGTAAGCTAAAGTAATAGAATTCATCAAACTGACATATCTTCATTGTATCATGCATGTCCCCTATAACTATATAGAAGTAAGGATTAATAAGTTGATATAACAATAGTAAAATTAAATATCAATAAATAAATAAGCAAATAAACTTGCATAAAATATTTTTGACTAGTGCAAAAGAAAAAAGCATAGGATCAAGTTGTGGATTGTTTTGATATTATAATATCAACATATTAGACTTGATATTGAAATGAAATATTTACAAGACCTATTGAAAATCTAAAAACTAAATTAGCTAATGCCTTAAATTAATACATAATTCTTAAAGATTAGTATTTTGCATCATAAAATTACTGTGGTTTCTCAACATTCTTGAGCTTATGTGTAACTCACTACTAATAATTTATTTATTTTTTATTTTTTATAAACGTATCCTAACCATACCCGTATCCTGCTTTTTTAGGTTTTGCTATATCGCCGTATCTGTATCGTATCGTATCCGTGCTTTCTAGCTCATGGATATGATTGTTTAAATTTTATAAATTATTTGACAATAATTATATAAATAATTATTTTTGTAAGTACTACACGGGAGACTCATACTTTGGGAGAGTTAAATAAACCACTAGCTTCTGATTGGTCACTTTGTGGCCTCCTGTTTATCATGGATCCATTGACCTCGGTTTGATTGTCACTTCGGTGACCTCAGTTCTGTTCTATACCCGTGGTTATGATTATTTTGCTTATACGATTTCTTAATTAAAATTTTGTTGTTTAAATAATTTATTTATTCAATCTGAATTGTTCACTATTTTAGCCTAAATAATTATCTATGGTGACTTTTATGCCCTTAGTATAATATTTCTCATTCTGTTATGTGCTTATAGCTGTTATCCCCTTCTAGGTGATGAGATTTAGCGAGATCGAGATTGGGAATCACAGTTTTTTTTTTTTTCTCTCTTTGTAATCCTAATTAGACTCTTGTAATTAAAAAAGCCTAAATGAATGTTTTTCTTTTAAATAAACTTGTTATTTTGGTACCCATTTATTTTATCTGCTTGTGCTATCAATACAGAAATTTTAGAATTATGTTTTTATTATTGCGATGCCTAACCCCTGGGTACCGAGGTTAGGTCAGTGGTGAATCACCCCGTAATTATGCCCCTAAGTTGGTGAGTCACCCCCCCTTAGTGTTAGACAGCACAGATGGCTCAACTTTCGTCCCTCCAGCAATTTGCACCTTTCTTTTAATCTACATAGCCCCCAACTTTCCTCTCTAATTAATTGTTGTGTTAACTTGGCCCCCCAAGTAAAATATATTCATCATATTTTTGATATATCAATGCACAATTAAATTACATTTTAGCACGTATAGTTATGTAATTAGATATTTTTATTATATATATATACTATGAAGCACGGATACTTCAAAAAGGGTAACGTATCCGTATCGGATACTTATTGGATACCGATACTCCTCGAATACTCGCGGATACGTATCGGATACTTCTTAACAGTATCGGATACTTCTTAATTAATTTCTTATTAATTTTGAAGTATCGGATACTTAATTTTGAAGTATCGGATACTTAATTTTGAAGTATCGGATACTCGAAGTTACATATTACTTATAATATTTTGTTTAGTTCTTTCATAAGAGGAATATAGTGCGAGTTAAAGTAATAGAATTTGTCAAATTGATGTATCCTTGTTGTCTCTCTCACTTCTCTCTCGCTTTCTCACTCTCTCACGTTTCTTCTCTCTGCTCTCATTCTTTTTTTGGTGTTGGCATGTAAGGATGATGTTTAATTTGCATTTGCATTTGCATTTGTTTTTGTTTTTGCTTTTGCTTTTGCTTTTGCTTTTAGTTTTGGATGTTTTATGAATGTTTGAGCACTTTTAGGTTAATAGGAATCCCTCTCTTTATTTATTAATTTACTTTAAGTTTTATTTTCATGAATATTACATTATTAAAATTATAAAAAAAAAAAATTTATGAATGTATCCCCGCTGTACCCGTATCATACTTTTTCAAATTTTGACATATCACCATATCCACATCCCCATATCACCATATTCGTATCCGTGCTTCCTAGGCTATCATTGATGACTTAAAAAAGTATATTTGCTGAAATTTTTATTTAAGAATGGTTTTTATTCACTGATGAAGGGGAACAAGTTGAAGCTATTGACCTTGAAGACTCTTAGTTTTGTAGGAATCTTTCTTCTTTATCAAGTTGTCTTTTGCTTTAAGTTTTATTTTTATGCATACTGCATTACTAAAAATTGTTAAAATAATATTTTTTACGAACGTATCCCCGCCGTACCCGTATCCTAGTTTTTCAAATTTTGTCGTATCGCCGTATCGTATCGTATCCGTATCCGTATCCGTATCCGTGCTTCCTAGTATATATATATATTTTTTACGCGGTGTTAAATTAAACATTTAGGGTGTCACATTTCTCTCCCCTAAATAAAAGTTTTTCTTCAAACTTGTCGTACCTTAGTTTTCGAAAAGATGTGGATATGGAGCCCGCATTTGACTCTCCATTTCCCACATAGCTTTTTCAACACGATAATTCCGCCATAAAACTTTTACAAGAGATATAATCTTGTTTCAGAAAATCTGATCATGACGGGGGATCTATACTAGTTGCTCTTCATAAGAGAGAACGTTTTGAACTTCGAGGTCTTCGTGATCAATGAGATGTTCTCGAAGATATCGTCAGAGCATCAACACATGAAATACATTATGAATATTGGACAATTCTGGTGGACGGGCAAGACAGTATGCTACCAGGCCAATCTTTTCCAATATTTCAAATGGCCCGATGTAACGTGAGTTCAATTTTCCTCATTTTCCAAATCGAATGATTCCTCTTGTCAGTGAGACTCTTAAGAAAACATGCACTCCTACTTGAAACTCTAAGTCCCGTCTCTGTGTATCTACATAGCTTTTCTAGCAGCTCTGCGCAGTGCCAATTCACAGTTGGATAAGTTGAATTTTATCACTCATTATTTGCACAATTTCAGGGCCTAACAGTTTCCTGTCTCCGACTTTTGTCCAACACAGAGGTGATCGACATCTCCGTCCATACAGTGCTTCATACGATGCCATTCCAATACTTGCTTGGTAGTTATTATAGGCAAATTCTACTAAAGGTTGGTGCTCATCCCAATTACCTTTGAGGTCTAGCATGCACACACGTAACATGTCTTCCAAAGCCTAGATTGTTCTTTCAGATAGCCCATCAGTTTGCAGATGATAGGCAGTGTTAAATTTCAATGTGTTTCCCAAAGCCTCTTGCAATTTGCTCTAGAAGTGAGACACGAAGCGAGGGTCTCGATCAGACACAATTGAAACTAGGGTACCGTGCAACCGAATGATTTTCTTGATGTATAGAGTAGAGAACTTAGTAAGAGAGTGTGATTTTGATTAGTAAAAAATGTGCCGACTTCGTTAATCGGTCTACTATGATCCATATTGCGTCATTCTTCGAGACTGACTATGGTAACCCGACCACGAAGTCCATAGTAACATGTTCCCATGTCCATTCAAGTTGTTGCATCCCTGCAGGTTTCTAATGTTCTGCTTTAACCCGTTGACAATGCAGGCATTTGGAGACGTGGCTTGCTATGTCTCTTTTCATTCCTGTCCACCAGTAGTGTTCCTTTAGATCGTGGTACATCTTTGTATTGCCAGGGTGGACTGCAAACCTCGAGCT